TCAAAAGATCACAAATCGTATCTAGTCGAAGACATTACCCTTAAAAATTGAAAAAAATTCCCTCGTTCCCCGTAAAAGGGGGAAACCTCCAAAAAAATTACAAATTTAAAAATCGCTAATTTTCGAAATTTTTTCAATTTTTTTTACTTAAAAGTGCCATAACTTTTTCAAAAATAAACATATCAATATAATTCTTTTTTATATAGATGCATAATATCATTACCTTTCATTTGGTATATTATTTTCATAAATATAACCCTTAACCTGCCCACAAGAGGGGATTTAAAATGACAACTTTTTCACAAAAAATTAATTTTTTTAACTTAAATTTTGAAAATGTTCCGGAAGGTCTGACACTTTTATATATATCTTAAATTAAAGCTAATGTAATATGCTTTATCATGAAAAAAAAAAATTTCGGACTTTATCTTATCTTCATGGTGAAAATGGCTACCGAATGCTATTTTTGTGTGAAAATTTTCGATTTTGTATTTTCCATTTTTAACTTTATTATGCTATAACTTTTTGAAAAATGTATGAATCATTACAATTTTTTTATGAGAAGTAGTATTTATATAGATCTTTCATTCGACATACTGTTTTTTTAAATCGGACCATTTCCCTAAATACAGGGGGGATTCAAAACATAAAAATGCATATAGAAAGTAGAACTTTTTCAACGTAACTTTTGAAAGTGTTCCGGAAGGTCTGACACTTTTATATATATCTTAAATTAAAGCTAATGTAATATACTTTATAATGGTAAAAAAAAATTTCGGACTTTATTTTATCTTCAAGGTGAAAATGGCTACCAAATGCTATTATTGTGTGAAAATTCTCAATTTTTTTTTTTACATTTTTAACATTATAATGCTATAACTTATTGAAAAGTGTATTGATCAATATAATTTTTTTATGGGAAATACTATTTTCTAATAATCTCTTTTTTATTCTACATACTTTGTCTTAATCAGGATATTAATAAGGAACTAGCAGTTTATGAAGCTTTTGGAATAATCCACCAATTTTTTAAAATTAAACACGTTCTAAAGATTTGCATCGTACCATTTTTTTTGATAATGATTTTAATCACTGTCAGATATCATTATACTTGATCCATCTACGCCACGTCACCACTGTGCCTCGACCCCCCTGTGCTGGGTTTTTATAGTTGGTTCAGCTATATAATATTTTCCAACTATATGGGGTGATTAATTTTGGGCAATACACATATTTTTTTAGAAATTAGTGATAATTTTAAATTTTTGAAAAGAGAAAAATTATGTAATTCAAAACGCTACAAAAAATATATATAGTTAAATTGGCCGACCCCAAGTTGTTGGGATTAAGGCGAGGAAGAAGAAGAAGAAGTGTTCAAAAATATTAACATGAATTTTCTAAAACGGGAACTCCTGTTTTTAATTTTATATTATGATAGAAAAAAAAATTACTAGAAATTTTATTCCAATAATTTGTTTTATCTTATCAATTGTTTGCGTATTAAAACTGTTTTAAAATTAATATTAAAAATACATTTTTATGATTCATTTTATTTTTTTAATAGTGAAAGTATCAATAATTTGTTTCAATAGGACACAAATAACTTTTTATAATAGTTATCAACACAAATATTCCACACAGATGGTGTACAATATACGATAGTTAACTTGAATATTAATATGTGCATCTATTAATAAACATAAGGTTTGGTCGTTACTTACGATCTCATCTGTATATATTTGCAATCTTTTAAGTATGACTAATGATAACACCTAATACCTAGTGTGTCAACAATGTTATTATTCTCTATAATTTTTAACTTAATTTTGATTGCCTTTTTTGATAATTGGACATATCAATGATCGATTCCAGTGTTGCCGACCAAATATTTGACCCATAAGTAATTTAATTTTTATTTGTTCTTGGGGTCAGTTCTGAGAACCCTTGGTAGTAATGCTTTTGGTTGAAGCCGTAAAGACAGTTAGTTGAAATAAATAAGAACACTTAGTTGACTAATTAGATATAATTAATATTTCAAATGAACATAGCACAAACAATTCTCGGATATATAAATACAAATATTATTTTAATAAATATATATATATTTGAATAAAAATTAATGGTGACATTGTTATTTATAAAAACAAGATTACTAGACAATGTCGGAACACTAGTCTCCTTTGTCAATAAAACCTGGCGGCTTTTATAGTCCCCAATTGTTGAAAGTTGCTAAAAATCCACGATGGACCTTTCGTGTCTTCTTGAGAGAATGTTTTCGGACCACAATTTGGATGAAATCTATTGAATTAGGTTATATTTTATCCTCCTAACTTCAATAATTCATCTACAATTTTATCACCTCTTGGATACTTATTATTTTTTAGAGTCTGGATTGCATATTATATTTCTTCAATGATGTATAATATATTGTGTCGTCTTGTTGCTTATTTCCGTTGATGAGTCTCTGTTAAAGAGTTTCAAAGTACATTTTAATTCCTCGGCAATGTTTTCTGGTTTTGTAATTAAGGTACCATTATTATCTTCTATCATATGTAAGGCTGGTAAAATTCTCTTTTTTTTTAATGATTTACAACGTTTGAATAATTCTCTGGGATTGTGTTTGAAGTTTTCAATGTATTATAATACATATCAGATATATCAAAGATAATATATCTTTATGTTGAATAATAGTTTGGTCTAAAAAAACTAGTCTATAAAATGGAAAAAATAACACTTCTGTTCGAGGTTCCAGAATTAAAGAAACGTATCAACCAACTACTTACTTTTCAGGAAAGCAAAATTTAATATTCATTTTACATTTAAAGCTAATAAAATTATTTCATTTGTATTTTGATAAAAATATACTATTCAATATAATTAATGATACACATTAAAAAATATTTAATTATTAGTTAAAATATAAATAATAATCGAAAAATCGAAAAATCCCAAATTTGGTTGATACTATCAACCTGATGGATTCCTTTAATTCATGTTGTTTTTAAACTGAAATATCACTAGCAAATAGATTTAAACTTTCACGTGTTGTAGCGATTCAATAAGTGTCTTATCCAAAATCGATCATCTGTATAATTATGTTGTCACTATATTAACTATAATAAGGTTGGACCAACTAGCTTATATTTTTTTTATATTTATAAAGTGACATTAGCCAACTCAATAATTTAGAAAGATTATGGTTTTGAATGATCTGACACCGGTTGATTTGTAATGCAATTTATTTACTTTTATATAATAGTGTTTGATATTCATTTAGGTTGTTAAAATAGCAAACGATTTTAAGATGGAAATTTTGAAAGATGTAATTAAAAATGGTGTCATGACTTCTAAAGATGTCGATGTTATTATTGAGTTAGATAAGATAAGTAAACAAGGTAATAATATATTTTATTATTTTCTTTCATTCGATAAATCATTGACACAAATTTTAAATACGTAAGCCTTTATTTCCTGACTTATTAATTATATTTTTAATCATTGGCTACTAAATTTCTCTTAAAATAATAAAATTATTAAGTTTTATTAAGTAGTATATATTTCTCTAATTTTAAGTGATTAATTATTTTTTATGTTTATTCTTTATCCCTTATAAGGGTATCAACTTTACTTTTTAAATACAAATATTTATATATAAATCAATAGAATATTAATCTAATTTAAACGCTAAAAAAATTAATCATGAATGTATTCTAACAATTAGAATTATTAAAAAAATAACTGGTCGATAATAGCTTTTTAATCAGTAGTTCACAAATTATGAATATATTTATACCTCATTAGGAGGCAGGAACATACTAGCCTACTGTTTGTGTAGCAGCAAAGTTGTTCGGTGACAATTGAAGCGACAAATAAAAGAGAAGTACTTAGAAGTTGAAGCTACGATTTAAATAAACAAATTTTATAATGAATTTCGAAATTTTGAACTTTTAGCTTCGATGCGAAGCTGAGAAGGCATTAATTTTACCATGATGTGTTTTTCTTTTGTCTGTTGTCTTTTTCTCAGCTCTCACTGGACCGATTACTTTCAATGATAAGTCAAAAGATCACAAATCGTATCTAGTTAAAGACGAGACCAAACGAGGGAAATATCCAAAAAAATACAATTTTAAAAATCAGTAATTTTTGAAATTTTTTTCTTAAAACTACCATAACTTTTTGAAAAATGAACAAATTAAAATAATTTTTTTTTTCTATTGAAACTATAGATATTTTTATTTTGTTTGATATAAGTTTTTTGTAAATCAGACTCTAAACCTGCCCACAGGGGGGATTCAAAAAAACAATTTTTGCACACAAGTTAAGATTTTTTATTTTAATTTTTGAAAATGTTCCGGAAGTATTGACACTTTTATTTAACTTAAATTAAGCTTATATTATAAACTATACTATGAAAAAAAAAAACATTCGAAGTATAGATTTTCTTCTTTGTGAAAATGGCTACCGTATCCAAATACTTGGGACAAGTATGCCACATCCCCACTGTGCTACCGTTTTTTTTTTATAAATTTGCAGTTAATTGTAATTGTATAAATTCCTGATCACCTATCAATATAAACAATGCTATTTTTTCAATCCTCATAAAAATTTCAATTTACAAGTTGAGCCAAAAAAAAGTTTAAAAAGTTATACTGGTTGGTTGAAAGTTCACCTTTTTTGAAAATAAATTATTGTAAAATTATCTTTAAAAGAATAAAAAAATTAGATTAAACGTGATATTTTGCATACAATTTTACATAGTTTATTATTAATATATCAAAAATCAAAATATATCATTACGAGAAAAAATAATATTTTTTGTTTTTAATTATTTGGCTTTTGTTAATTTTAAATATTTAAAAAATTAGAGATAATAAAATCTAATTTCAGATTTAAAATCAATACAAAAAATAGTTGCGTAAAAATACATTTCTTCTTTGAAAAATGTGTATTACTGGCACTACTCAATGTTTGTTCTAATAGTCATGTATTTAAAAAAAAAATCGATGAGTTATTTTGTTATGTTGTACATTTTCTATTAAAATTTACGTTAGTAATACAAATTATAAAAATTAAAAAAAAAAACGTTTCCATAAATTACATAAAAAAATTGATCATCACTAAGTGATTGGATAATTTTATATTCATTTAATCATCAGGATATCTGATTGACAATGCTTATATAATTTTTATACAATTATCGTTTTATTAAAATTTCTTTAACAATAAATTTGGTTCCTGATACTAAATTAAAAATATATAGCTTCGATGCAAAGCTGAGAAGTTATTAATTTTACTATAATGTGTTTATTTTTTTGTGTCTGTTGCCACTTTTTCTCAGTTCTCACTAGACTGATTTTTTTCAACGATTCGTCAAAAGATCACAAATCGTACCTAGTTGAAAACATTACCCTTAAAAATTGAAAAAATTTTCTTAATAATGAGAGAAATCCCTAAAAAAATTACAATTTTTAAGAAAATGTTGACATTTTAGCTTCGATGCGAAGCTGAGAAGGTATTAATTTTACTATGATGTGTTTTTTTATTTTTTTTTTTGTGTCTGTGAACGCTCAATCTCAGCTCTCACTGGACCGATTTTGATGAACAATATGTCAAAAGATCACAAATCGTATCTAGTCGAANATTTTTTTTTTTGTGTCTGTGAACGCTCAATCTCAGCTCTCGCTGGACCGATTTTGATGAACAATATGTCAAAAGATCACAAATCGTATCTAGTCGAAGACATTACCCTCAAAAATTGAAAAAAATTCCCTCGTTCCCCGTAAACGGGGGAAATCCCCCAAAAAATTACAAATTTAAAAATCGCTAATTTTCGATATTTTTTCAATTTTTTTTACTTAAAATTGCCATAACTTTTTTAAAAATGATCGAATCAATATAATTTTTTTTTTTATAGATACCTTAGAGACTCACCTATCATTTTATATATTTTTGTGAACATTTGACCCTTTAACAGCCCAAAGGATAGGGTTTCAAAATGGTAACTTTTTTACAAAAAATTAACTTTTTCAACTTAACTTTTGAAAATGTTCCGGAAAGACTGACAATTTTATATATACCTTAAATTAAAGCTAATGTAATATACTTTAATTTGAAAAAAAAAAATTTGACCTCTGGACTTGTCTTCATGGTGAAAATGACTACCGTATGCAAAAATATGCTATTTTTGTGAAAAAATTCTTGATATTATATTTTACATTTTTTAACATTATGTTGCTATAACTTTTTAAAAAATGCATGAATCAACTTTATTCTTTAATGATAAATACTTTATATATACTTCTTTCATTCGACATACTTTTTTTTAAAATCGGACCATTTCCCTTTATACAGGGGGGGTGCAAACCTTTTAAAATGCGTATAGAAAGTAGAACTTTTTCAACTTAACTTTTGAAAATGTTCCGGAAAGACTGACACTTTTATATATATCTTAAATTAAAGCTTATGTAATATACTTTAATTTGAAAAAAAAAAATTTGACCTCTGGACTTGTCTTCGTGGTGAAAACGGACATCAAAGTTAAAGAAAAACGTACGATTTCCGTGAAAAAAATCTCGATTTTATATGTTATATTATTTAATTTATATTTTATATAACTTTTGGAAAAATGTATGGATCTATATTATTATTTTTTTATAATAAATATTGATATACCCCTTTCATCTGGCACGCTTTTTTTGTAAATCGGATCATACCCCTTTAACAAGGGGGGTCAAAACTTTAAACATGCGTATTGTTACTACGATATTTTCAATTTAATTTTTGAAAGTATTCCGGAAATACTGACACTTTTAAATATATCTTAAATTAAAGCTTATGTAATATACTTTAATGTGAAAAAAAAAAATTTGACCTCTGGATTTGTCTTCATGGTAAAAATGACTACCGTATGCAAAAATATGCTATTTTTGTGTTAAAATTCTGGGTTTTGTATTTTATTTTATTTTAAAATACCTGACAAGGGGAGTACAGATTTTCATAAATATTATATAAATTAAAATTGATATAGTATAGATAGTTAAACTTATTTAAATATGTTTGTTTCTTTTAAGTCGAGAAAAATAACTTTGAAATTTGAACTAGCTTAAATAGCCAATTTTTCAACCGCCGGAAGCAACGTACGGTTGCCGAGTTGGTAAAATTTATGTTTTACACGCTTGGGGTACGAGGTTCCAACCCGCATATGGCAATGAATTTTTTGCATTTTTTCTTAATTCTTTTTAAGTTAGTATAAATTTTAACTCGTTTGATTTTTATCACATTTAGATTCAATAACTTCAATAAAGATCAAGGATCCCATCACTTTAGTCGCCCCTTGCAAGAAGAAATTTCTTATTCGTATTAAAATTATTTTACTATATTTTAAGTTTTCGCTTCGATGCAAAGCCGAGAAGATATTTTTTTGTGACTATCATTTATTTTCTCTGCTCTAACTTGACCTACTTTTTTCAACAATACGTCAAATTACTACAATTCGTATCTAGTTGAAGATATTACTCTCAAAAATTGAAAAAAAAATTCTAATTTATCAATTAAACAGTTAGTTATTACATCGTCTCCATAAAGACAATTAAAATCATTAATTTCTAATGTTTTCAAAATATTTATTAACGAATGAAGTTTGATATGATAGGTTTCAACTACAAAATTAAATCATTTTACTTTGTAATTTAATAATTTTTTTACTCTATTTGTGTGTGCTACTACTAGACTATAATATTACAATTTTTTTTTGTAACATGTTGCTATATAAATCATTTCTAAAAAAAATGATTGTTTTTTCTCCTGAATTAACAATTGATTTTTACAAATATAATCAAATTTTATAATACACTCAATTGAGTAAATCTTTTTAACAACTTTGTTTTGATTGGTACATTTAGTTAAAGTAAATCATTAAAATTAATTAAGTTCTCAATATTTCAATTATAGAATCTTTTCAACAAACAACAAAAGTTCCTAGGAAATTATTACTATTACTTCTATTTAAGTTATCTATTACCATAAAAATGCAAAAAAATATTGAGCTTTTCTGATAAATTTACAATAAATAGTAATTATAAAACTTTCTGACTGCATATTGATCTTAACGATACAATTTTTTTAATTGTCATAAAATTTTCTATTTAATTATGTCAATGTCAAACTTACCAATTGAGCTAAAAGTTATGGTAAAATAAATTTTTTTTTTTTATTATAAACATTTACAACAATCAACTTTAAACGATTAACAAAATAGGTTAAATATGTCATTTTCCTTATTTTTAACTTATTAATAATCAAATTAATATTAAATATTATATCAAATCAGTATTAATTTAAAACAATTTTTTTTGTTCTTAATTATTTTTTTTTATATGTAAAAACTATTTTTTAATAATATTAAAACTTAGAAGTTATAGAAAAAGTCTAATTGCACATTTTAAAACATCGCGAAAAGTTGATTTAGAATAGTATATTTTTGTTTCTGATGGAAGTTCCTTGTAGTCCAGTGTATAAAACTTATAACTTTGTTAATTGTTATAACTTTATCAAAAATGACCAAATCAGTATATTTTTTTTTATTTAGATGCATGTCTTTATCTATCATTTGGTTTTTTTTATAAATCTAACCCTTTACCTGCCCACAAGAGGGATTCAAAATATTAACTTTTTTTTTTTTAGTTAAAGTAAATCATTAAAATTAATTCAGTTCTGGATATTTCAATAGTAGAATCTTTTTAAATATCAAAAATTACTTAGAAATGATTACTATGATTTCTATTTAAGTGTTCTATTACGATAAAAATGCAAAAAATAATGAGTTTTTCTGATAAATTTACAATAAATAATAATTATAAAACTTTCTGACTGCATATTAATCTTAAAAATAACATTGTTTTAATTCTCATAAAATTTTCTATTTAATGATTCATTCTAGTCAACGAAGGAGTAATTTTGCAGAATAGCAGAAAAAATTCCCAACAAACTTTTTTTTTTTTTGTTTTAATTAGGCAATTGGTGGATTATTCCAAAAGCAACATCAACTCTTATTTCTTTAATTATATCATGATTAGTAGTTCTTTGATTTTAAAATATAATATTTGAATATATACTAATTATAATTATTAAATTTAGTATGAAATTGATATTTAATATTGTAATTTAAACGGAGAAATTATAAAAATAATAAAGAAGTTATATTTTGCTTTACTTTTACGTGTATAAAAATTTAAAGGGCTTGATACAATAATTTTCAATAAAAACTGTTTGTTACTATAAAAAAATGCACTGGACTACAAGGAACTTTCATCAGAAGCAAAAATATACTTTTCTAAATCAAATTTTCGCGTTGTTTTCAAATCTGCAAGTAGACTATTTCTATCACTTCTAATTTTTTATATTATTACTAATTATATATATAAAATAATAATTAAAAGAAAAAAAAATTTGTTTTCAAATTATTACTGATTTGATTTTTAATATGTTAAAAATAATCAGTCCAAATTTTCAATTTTAACCTATTTTTTTGGTTCTTTAAAGTTGATGAAAAATTTTTGATAAAGATTTATGAAAGTTTATAGTAAAATAAATTGAATATATTACCATAACTTTTAGCTCAATTACAAGTTTAAAATTGACATCTAGGCCTGTCAACAAAGGAAAAATTGCGGAAAAAATTTTGTTTTTTTAAAAGTTGAATTAAAATATGTATAATGACATACTAATAGTCCTCAAGATTGGAATTGAGCTTTTTTTTTAAATCCTCGCAAAAGTTCAAAAATATGAGCTTTCTTAATTTTCTCAAAAAAAAATATTTAACTTACAAAAAAAAGTTTCGCACAAAAGTTGTTTAAAAGACAATTATAAATAAAAATATAATCTTATATTTTTTCATTTAAACAAATATTTTTCGAGTTACATTACATTTAATATGAGTAATAAAATTTATATTCCATTTTTTTCATTTTACGGTTACTTTTTATCATGTTATACTTACATTAGACACAATGTTATAAATGCATATGTGTGTATGTGTGAGTTTATTTATTTATTGTATCATTAAAGTGTAGTGTATATTGAGATACAACCGATAGAGTAGGTAATTGATTTGACGCTATATTATTTAAACCCAACTAAACGCTAAATTGTACATTCCGAAATAACAATCATATTATGTCAATTGCCACCGGAATATCTGGTAATATTTTTCTTTTTCTTTGCCTTAATCCCAACTACTTGGGGTCGGCCACCCTTATCCTAAGCTTCCACTTGACACGATCTCCCACATCTTCTACGCTCACATCAGCTGTCCTCAAATCGCATTCAATAGCATCCCTCCATCTCTTTTTTGGTCTTCCTCTATCTCTTCTTCCTTCAACATTCATTTCTATAACTGTTCTTACAGCTTTCGATTCTTCTTTCCTCATACCATGACTAAACAATCTAAGTCTATTTTCTGTCATCTTATCCACGATTGACGCAACACCTATACTTCCTCTTATATGCTCGTTCCTTATCCTATCTTCTCTAGTCACTCCACTCATCCAACTAAGCATTCTCATCTCTGCTACACTTATTCTCTGCTCTACTTTCTTATCAACCGCCCAACACTATGAACCATACATCATAGCTGGCCTCACAATTTCATACTAAATTTAAAAACTATAATTAGTATTTATTCATATATTATATTTTAAAATCAAAGAACTACTAATCAGGATATAATTAAAGAAATAAGAGTTCATGTTGCTTTTAAAATATTTCACCAATTTCTCTAAAGGAAACACTATCTACAGATTTGCATCGAAGCGTTTCTTATGATAGTGATTTTAATCACTGTCAGATATCATCTATACTTGTCCCATCTATGCCTCGTCCACACTGTGCCTCGACCCCACTGTGCTACCGTTTTTTTTTCTTAAAAGTGCTATAAATTTTTCAAAAATGAACGAATCAAAATATTTTTTTTTATATAAAAACCTTAGGCATTTCCATTTTATTTTTTATAAATTTTTTGAAAACCTAACCCTTGACCACTGGGATGGATTCGAAAAACATAATACATAGAGTGGGTATGTAGTGAGGGTGCAGCTTGTATGTATCTACTAACAACTCACATCTACTCTATTTTAGATGCTTGTAACTCTCAATGAATACTTGTTCCAAAATTGTTATTGATTCATCAAATTTTTTAGTAAAAAGAGGATTAAAAACTGTATATTTAAAAACAAAATATATATATATTCACAATCATTTTTTTTCTGATTAGTGATAAATAATAAAATATATACTTCAAATATAATCTAAAGAGGCAATAGTTATTAAAAAAAAAATTCAACAAAATGATAACTTTGCCAAAAGTTATAAGCATTGTCAGTTAGGTCTGAGATATTTGCATAATTTAAGTGATGTAACATTTAATTAGTTTCAAAGTAATAAAATACATGTAAAATGCTAACTTTTCTTTATTTCTTTATTTATTCTTTTTTCTAAATTTTCTTCATTTGTAAACATTGTGTATCATTGTGTGCTAGGCCCTCGAATTTGACATTTTATTTTAAAAGTTATTATGTGTAAACCCCCTGATCAATTCACTTATACTATTATAGTCTCCCAAAAACTTTTATCATATATTTATATATGACCTCCCTCCACTTTACACAATTTCAAAATAACTAAATAACAAAATTTATGTTGATTTTTTTTAGATTCACCGGACGAAAACAAAATTTGCTATTCAGATTTCTTCGATATGATCTCAAATATACAAACAAAACTAAATAAAAAACTAACTATACCTGATAAATTATATGATGCTATAAAATCAGTGTATATAGAAAAATCTGTGGCTCGTTCATTACTAAAAAGTTTTGATGTGACGATCACAGATAATGTAGTGGATTAATTGTTTACTTATGTATGTAAAAAACATAACAAACCTAACGTTTTGTAAATTTTTTTCATAACAATAAAATGTCATTTTTAATTATACCTGATTTTTATTCATAAAATGCTGTTCATAATAATTGAAATTTAAATACAAAAAATTATTCTGTAAAGTATTTGTTTATTAATTCATACTTTATTTAAATTTGTAAAAAGTATTCTATAATAATTATTATACTTGTACTAGGGGTTAGCCTAGTGTAGTGCGTAGAAACATATGTTTTAGCGACCAAACAAGCAAAATCATGATTTAAAAATAACCATTTTTTAATTTTACGTATTTTATTAAACATTGAAAGCTAAACTTGTTACAGTTTCTATACTTTTATAAAAAACATTAATTTTTTTTAGAAATATTAGTGTATACCCGTATAATAATTGAGAGAGTTAGTAGATATCTACTGACAAACCTAACCCAACAAATAACTAGCATGTCATAAGTATTTAAATTTTATAGTAATTGTAATATTATATATATTAATTTATTTACTCTTTAATTTTACTAAATTTTCATTCTACTATTACAATTATTAATTGATAATTATTCCCACTCTTTTTAAAAAATCCCAACAAAACATAATTTTAATTTTTTAGAATTTAAGCTATTCAAAATTTTATTCCAATATTTGTATATGATATGACATGAATTAAGGGTGTCTTTTTTTCACACTTTTCAGCTGACGTCATCTTTGGAATGGGAATAATTATACTCTTACAAAGTCGATTAGTAGAACCAATATTTTGTAAAAATCTCTTGTGAGTTTAAATAATTCATTTACCATATTTTGCTTGTTTATTAATGTTAATTAATGAAAAATTAAAACAAATTAAGGATGTATATGAATAATAAAAATTAATTAAGGGCGAAATAGTGAAAATTTATAACAAATTAAGGGTCTATAATTAAAAATTAAAATGAATTAAAGATGTATATGCTGACAAAACTTTAGTGTTATGCCGCGCTACCGCTGTAGGTGAACGGATGGGTGACCATGCGTGCGCTTCTACGGTGGCGAAAAAGCACCATGATCCCAGTGCAGAAGGCAACGGGAAACCACTGCACTTAATTTTCCCCAGGATATACCAATGGTATTAACTAACCTAACGGCTGTAAAAAAAAAATTAAAAATTAAAATGAATTAAGGATGTATATTAATAATGATAATGAATTAAGGGCGAAATAGTGAAAATTTATGACGAATTAAGAGTGTATAATGAAAAATTAAAATTAATTAAGGGTGTATAATTAAAAATTAAAATTAATTAAGGGTTTATAAGGTTACCAAACGATAATCAATACACTATAAGGAATAATAGTTAAAAGTAATTGTTAGCTGATTAATCAAGAATTATATGTAACAAAAAAAATCAAATTTTATTTTTCCAATATTATATTTATTTTACAAATAATCGAGTGGTTTATGATAATCTGTACACTCTGTAGGGATAATATTTAATTTTACTTACAGGGTAATTGACTAATTATGTCTTACGTAATATCTTTAAAAAATACAAGTCTTATAAACAATTTTTAGCTTCGATGCGAAGCTGAGAAGGTATTGGTTTTACTATGATGTGTTTTTTTTTGTGTCTGTTACCACTTTTTCTCAGCTTTCCCTGGACCGATTTCTTTCAACGATAAGCCAAAAGATTACAAATCGCATCTATTCGAAGACATTACCCTCAAAAATTAAAAAAATTCCCTCGTTCCCGTAAATTGAGGAATCTTCCATAAAAATTACAAATTTTTTCAATTTTCTTTTTATTTTAAGTTGCCATAACTTTTTCAAAAATGAACAAATCAATATAATATTTTTTAAATGCATGATATCTTTACCATTCATTTGATATCATTTTTTTATAAATCTGACTCTTTACCTGCCTACAGGGGGGGGGTTAAAAATGACAACTTTTTCACAAAAAATTAACTTTTGAAAATGTTCCGGAAAGACTGTCACTTTTATATATACCTTAAATTAAAGCTTAATATCCGTGAAAACGGATATCAAAGTTCAAGAAAAACGTACGATTTTAAATTTTCAACTCATTTGATTGTTATCAAATTTCAAGAAGAATTTTTTTATTCATGTTAATATTATTTTACAATGGGTTTTTTTAAAGGCTGCGATTTATTTTTCCAATCCTCAATTAACCTACTTTTGTCAATGATATGTCAAATGATTACAATTCATATTTAGTTGAAGATATTACACTCAAAAATTGAAAAAAAAATTCTAATTTATTAATTAAACAGTTACTAATTCTACATTCTCCACACAATCAATTAAAATCATCTATTTATAATCTACTAATCTATCAACTAATGTAATATTATAGTCTAGTAGTAGAACACACAAATAGAGTAAACAAATTATTAAATTTCAAAGTAAAATTATGTCATTTTGTAATTGAAACCTATGATATTGAACTTGATTCATCAATAAATACTTTGAAAACATTATAATGATTTTAATTGATTGTGTGGATAAAGCTGTTTAAGGAACTTTTTATTTGATTAAGGGATTTATCATTCAATTTTTGAAGATAATATCTTCAACTAAATACAAATTGTAATCATTTGACATATCATTGACAAAAGTAGGTTAATTGAGGATTGGAAAAATAAATCGCAGCCACAAAAAAAACACATTGTTAAATAATATTAATATGAATAATCGTATGATTATTTATGAATTAATATGAATAATATTGAAATTTGATAAAAATCAAACGATTTGAAAATTTAAAAAGAATTATGAAAAAATGCAAAAAATTCCTTGCCAAACACGTGTTGGAAACCTGTACCCCCAAGAACGTTATACACAATTGTTACCGAATCAACAACCATACGTCGTTTCTGTCGATAGATAAATATGGAAATTTAAGCTGGTTTGAATTTCAATGTTATTTTTCTCGACTTAAAAAAGCAAAAAATTAAAATAAGTTTAACTTTCTATGCTATATTAATTTGATTTATATAATATTTATAAAAATCAGTGTACTCCATTTGTCAGGTATTTTAAATATAAAATAAAATACAAAACCCAGAATTTTAATACAAAAATTGCATTTTTTTAATACGGTAGTCATTTTTACCATAAAGACAAATCAAAGGTCAAATTTTTTTTTTTTTAATTAAAGTATATTACATAAGCTTTAATTTAAGGTCTACAAATTTGTAGATAGTGTTTAATTTTTAAAAATTTATAGATTATTACAAAAGCTACATGATCTGCTATTTCCTTATTTATATCCTGATTAAGATAAAGTATGTCGAATGAAAAATGGATATAAATATTATTTCTCATAAATAAATTGTATCACTTTTCAATAAGTTAAAGCATTATAAAATTAAAAATATAAAAATAAAATCCAGAATTTTCACACGAAAATAGCATTTGGTAGTCATTATCACCATGAAGACACAATAAAGTCTGAAATTTTTTTTTCTATAATAAAGTATATTACATTAGCTTTAATTTAAGATATATATAAAAGTGTTAGACTTTTCGGAACACTTTCAAAAGTTAAGTTTAAAATGTTAATTTCTTGTGAAAAAGTTGTCATTTTAACCCCCCCACCCTGTGTGTTGGTAAAGGCATCAGATTTATAGAAAAAATATACCAAATGATAGGTTAAGACATCAAGGATCTATAAAAAAAAAAATATATTGATTTGGTTATTTGTAAAAAAAATTTCGAAAATTTCGAAAATTAGCAATTTTTAAATTTGTAATTTTTTTGGAAGTTTCCCCTATTTACGGGGAACGGGGGAAATTTTTTCAATTTTTAAGGGTAATGTCTTCAACTAGATACGATTTGTGATCTTTTGACGTATCGTCGAAGAAAATCGGTCCACCGAGAACTGAGAAAAGGTGGCACAGACACAAAAAATAAACACACCAGACACAAAATAAAATTAATACCTTCTCAGCTTGCTTAGCATCAAAGCTAAAATAACATTTAAGTTTGTGTTGAATTTAAATAAAAATTTAAAGTATATTTTTACTATCAAAGTAAGTACTATCAAAGAAAAGATAAGAATTGTTACTACATAGAGTATAGTAAGGATACAATAAATATACTATAAAATAGTACTATAAAATTAAGGATAAGCCATTCATTTAATCGGAAACTAATGAATATCTTTAATTTTTGTAAAGGATAATAATGTTTGATTCAAAAAACTACAATTATATATAGTTAAATAACTTTATTGTTCATTACTCCAGAGATAAATAATCTTAAAAATTAATTTCTTTTAATGGGACCCCTTTTATAATTAGATGTTATGATAAAAATAAAATAATATAAACAACTCTGTTCTTAAATTTTTTTTATCCAATCAACTGATTTTATTTTGAAATTATTTAAAATAAAAATTTCATCACAGGTTAATTCCAATAAGAGTATTGCATTAGGATCATTTTAATTTGATGACTTACAAATTAATAATAATTGATTGATCTAGATTATTAACTCATAAAATTTATTAATCGAATAACTATCTATAGTTTAAATTATGTGATAGTGCCAAGCGGTAACAAGGTTGAGGACTTAAGAAACAAACTATAACAAGCTTAAATTGATGAAAATATACAAGTTTTCTTACCAAGATTTATTTGTTTAGCATGGAAAATGAAGAAATGCATTTAATATTTTATTTTAACAATACTTAAAAACAATATTAATAATTTTCTTAACTAAAAACCTTATATATATTTTTAATTAAAAATCATTTTCTTTTATAATATTTATACTTATCAGGGCCTAAACAAATAAAAAACACAGTTGTACTAATTCTCTATACCATTTTGAATATACTATCTATCGATAAAATTACAAATAACAAATGATGTATACATCATTGTGCTCTTTATAGTTTTATTCTTAATTGTTCTTTTCATTTAATGATACTTGAAATTAAGTATAGTTAAATTTATTTTTATATCACTAACCTTTTTATATCCGACTTTTCATTTTAGTTAAGTTAACTAAAATTATTTTCTTATTGATCGGTTTATGATGATTTTCAAGTTAAAACTTGAAAAAAAAAATACTTTAGTATTGTTGCTTATATCATAAAGCATCTTTTGGTGTTGGAAGTACTGTTCTAAATTTAAAAGAAATTTGATGAGTATAAGTAGTGTATCAAATTTCTGAAAAAGTTAGGTAAATCTGTTTTTATAATAAGTTTTTAAATAATAGACGTTTAAAAAATTAGTTGAGCAAAAACTGTCAGGATGGCGTGCCCCTTGAATCCGTTAATGCATAAATAAAATAGTAATAACACAGAATTTTTTTTTTATTAAAAAAAATGGATGTTTAAAAAAGAATAAGAATTATATCATCATCTATCCAATAGTTACGGTTATTTATTATTTTTACAGCAGTAACTTGGTGACAAGATATTAAGTAAATATATTGTTAATTAAATTTATATTTTTCCATAAAACCATCTAGTTGAAAATAATGTACAAATAACTCATTTAACAATTTTTTTGAATGTATATTTACTTCCTTCATATGGTTTGAAGATTTTATAATCGTCTTGTAGATTTTAATTAGAACTGTCTCGTAGAAATATTTTGATATAGTTATTATGTCAAACATTTTTTTTTGCCGTAGTAAGTACACAGAAGTATTATTCATTTGAATTCTAATTTATTACTTTATTTTTCATATATATTTTTCAAAAGTATTAAAATAATGTAATAAATAATTTATCAATTTTTGATCATTTTATGGATTTTTAAAGTAATTGATTTTTCGGAAAAAAATTTAAAAAAATTTTTAAAAGATACAAGTCAGTTGAAAAATTATTATTTTTTTTTATCAATAATTTAAATTTATCTATGAAATTTTTGATATTAATAATATTTTTGTAAAAATCNAAAAAAATTTTTAAAAGATACAAGTCAGTTGAAAAATTATTATTTTTTTTTATCAATAATTTAAATTTATCTATGAAATTTTTGATATTAATAATATTTTTGTAAAAATCAAAAGTTTTTATAAATTGATTAATAAGTAATTTTTTAAAAGCATTTTCAATTCCCTGTTGAAACTATTAAATTATGTATGAATACTTATTAATTAGAAAATCTATAGAATAAATTTCTAGAAAATATGTTTAGACCTATTAACATAAATTGAATTATTGTAGTATATAGAAAATTTCATATGAAAATTATATTTTGAAATATTCTCTTTTTGTTAGTTAAAGTAATCGTATATGTATTTACTCTTTATTGTAGATTTGTAGGGGAAATTTTATATTATTCATAAATCCATCAAAAATGAGACCACAAGTTCCTACTATAAACGAAAAAAAATTACTTGATAAACAAAGTAACAATGGGATAAAAAACGAAAAATAATGATGTAAAAAATGATTTTTTTCTTTTAGATTCTAATAAATATATAACCTTGATAAATAGAAAGATAGATCAAAGATATGCGGAAGAAACTACAGATAATTTAAGTTGTACTCAGTACGATAAAACCAATGAAAATAAATTATTTATGGCAAGACAGAAAAGAGAAAGAGCTAGAAAAAATCATTTGCAGTTATTGCAAAAGCAAAAGGAGTTAGAAGAACGCAAAAAAAGATTAGACAATTTGAAAGAGACTACTAAAAAATTGGCACAGGCTTCTTTGAAAAAAAAGGTATAAATATTTAATATTTTTATTAGAATATGATCTAAGGAAAGTGATTTAAAATAATTGAAATTAGAGTAACACCTAAAGCAATATTAGATATATTTCTTTAGATTTTATAAGACTTCTAATTTTTTATTTTTGTGTTTAGCATTTAAGTCCAAAGTTTAAATCAACACAACCAGAAAAGAATATTAATGAGTTTTCTCCAAAAGAAAATATCAAAGGTGAATAGAATTCTAAAATTTTTCTTTTTAATTGAAAAATTTACAAACAGATATGATCTTTTTTTCAAGCGGGAAAGTGTTAATGAAGTACAATGTTTGATAATGACTTTCATTGTGTACAAGTGCTAAGAAATTTTATGGGACGTGTAATAAAATATGTGGCAGTCGAATATTCTAGAATTTTCGAATGTCCTCAAATTAATTACTACAATTTTCGACATTTTTTCAATTTTTTTTTTACTTAAAACTGCCATAACTTTTTTGAAAATGACCGAATCAATATAATTTTTTTTATGAATACCTTAGGTCTTTACCTATCTGTTGGTATATTTTTGTGACACATTTGATTCATTTCCAGCCAACAGGAAGGGTTTCAAAATGGCAACGTTTTCACAAAAAATTAACATTTTTAACTTAACTTTTGAAAGTGTTCCGGAAATACTGACACTTTTATATATGTCTTAAATTAAAGCTTATGTAATATACTTTAAATTGAAAAAAAAAAAATTGACCTCTGGATTTGTATTCATAGTGGAAATGACTACCGTGTTTAAAAATATGCTATTTTTGTGTTAAAATTCTGGGTTTTGTATTTTATTTTATTTAAAAATACCTGACAAAGGGAGTACACTAATTTTAATTAATATTATATTATTATAATATATAAATTGATATAGCATAGAAAGTTAAACTTATTTAAATTCTTTTGCATTTTTTAAGTCGAGAAAAATAACATAGAAATTTGAACTAGCATAAATTGCCATTTTTTTCAATGAGAGAAAACAAGGTGTATTCAGAAAATAACGGAAATCGTTAAATTACTAACTACAAGTTCAACGCCGTTCGCGTGAAGCAATCCGAAAAAACACCCAGATTTGTAGCGAAACGATTCATGACATTTGCACCATAATAATGCACCTACTCACACTTCATTCGTAAATTTTTGGACAAAAACAATACTGTAAAGATGCCCTAGCTTCCACATTCACCAGACATGGCTCTGTGTGACTTTTTTCTATTTCTAAAAATAAAGAGAACCTTAAAGGACCGTATTTTACAAGCATAGATAACATTAAAAGCGCATTGCTGAATAAGCTGAAGGCTATCCTAAAGATCAAGTTTGAGAAGTGTTTCGAAGATCGGAAGAAGTATTAGCACAAGTTCATAATATCTAATGGAGACTATTTGAAGGCGACAACATTAATGTTGACGGATAAATATGTTTTTCAAAAAAAAAACGAAAATTTCGGTTATTTTCCGAACACACCTTGTATATGCAATTTATGCGCTTACATTTATGTTGTATTATGTCAATATGTTATAATGTTATACAAAAGAATATAAATTTTTTAACATCCATTAATTTTGGTTTCTAGTATTTTTAAATAATTTTTTTTTTTAATACTGGTGTTGAACTTTTTTTTATTTATGGCATACTGTACGGTTTTGGTTGTTTATTTGGGTATTAATACAGTATTAGGTGTCAAGTTAATTCAGGATTAAAGTCCTATTTTCGAATAAAATAAAATTTCTAGATACATATTTTAAAAATGTTCAAATATTTTAATTTACCAATAAAAAGACAAATTTATACTACAATATTTAAAAAAATTACTGTAAAGAGTATTTTGCTTTTAATAAATTAATAATCTATTACAGACAATTCACAGCGCAAAATTATAAAGCCAGAAACTCTTTTCTCTAAGTTTGAACACTTCAAAAACATAAAAGAATTAATTAATGAAAAATCCTTTTCTTCATCAAATATAAATTTTAAAAAATGTGACTTGATCAATGAAAAACAAAACAGTGGTATGTTAGCATTTAAAAGTCTTAACATTATTTATAAATATAAAGTAACTTAAAATTAACTCAGAAAGTCTATAATAAAAAATAAATATTTAGCTTTTAACAATGAATAATTGAAAGATAAAAACATAACAAATAAGGTAGATAACTTTTAAATTTTTATAATTCAATTTACTTGTAATTATTTTGTTGTAATTTTATCAAGAAAAAAAGTTATTTCAGTATTAGTGGTTATATAAGTTGGTTTACAAATCTAATTTTATAGCTAAATATGTTATTAACATTTTTTTAAACTCTTAAAGAAAAAAACATTTCATTTTTTTAATTCACAAACTCATAAATATATTTAACCATATTAATATCAGATAATTATGTGTTTAAAAAAGGCTTACATACTATATTTTTTAAAAAGAATCTTTTAATTCAAGAAAGATTCCAGCAAAACAACCACCTATCTCAAATTTTGTCAAAAAACCATGTTTTTATTAAATTGTTTATTTGAAAAATAATTAATTAAAATAAATAAATAAAAAAGTTAGAGACTAAAGTAGGATATAAATTAATTTAAGTTATAATAATTTTGTTAAATCGAATTAAATTAATTTGATAGAATAAGAACAATAGTAATAATTATGATTTATATATGTCTGATTCATGCAATATAACAAAATAAATTTTTAACTTTAAAAAAGCTATAAAAGTGTAATGACTGAACTAAAATAAAAGTTTTGATTATGAAACATTATAAAATTAAATTTTAAATTTTCAAAAAAAAAAAATTTTTTCTTTCAATAAAGAAAAATTACATATAATACATTAGGAAGTAACTTTGTATATATATCATAAATGAAAAAAATAATTTAGTTTAAAATGTTAAATAGATCAAATATTATTTGAGTTTTTAGTTAGATCTACAATTCAATTTGAAAATACCAAGTATAACATAATAATTACTTGGGTTATTGTTATTTTTCTTATAAGAAGTTTTTATATTACTATTTTATGTTTTTCATTTTTATGTTACTATTACTTTTATTAATATGATTATTTTTATATTATTATGTATTTCATTGATAGTTATTTAATTGTATCAATTTATAAGACTAATTTTTTTAATTATGTTTCATTCTTTATTATAGTTATTATTATAAAAAATATTATTTCTTAATTAATTCAACATTAATCTAAAGTAAACTAATTTTTGAAAAAATAGTTTGTTTGAATCAAATGTTAATAGAGCATCTGCCAGTGTTAATTATCTAAATATATTAAATTCAAATTTATTTTAATTTCAGGGTCTACAAAATGTTTGCATTTTCTTTTTAATATTCTAATATAAACTATATAATTGTATTTATGTTATATAATGAATAGCATATAAAATAATAAAACAATTTAAAAAATTTATATTCTTAATTTTCCATAATCTTTAATTTTCGTCATTCGTGCGAAAAAAAATTAATAACATTTTCCCATATTACATAATATTCAAATCTTGATTGTTTAAAAATACTAGCTGTCCTCATGGCAGTAATAATTATTAGAAGAAACTGTTTAAAAATTTTTCATAAAAAATCTTTAAATTGTAATGTCATTATTTTTAAAAATTGTGTGAACATATTTTTATCCGTTGAAAAGTGTCCAATCCTAAAATTATTGATACTTCCCACAATTAAAAAAATATCCATATTATTATATTTTATTAATAACAATGTTGAAATATATTTTAATTTAATCTGATATTGTATAATTTAATACAATTTAATATCATCTATTCAAGGTTATCCCGAAGCTAAACATATACAGGGTGACAAATTAATATTTATGAATAACATATCTTTTTTTAAATTGTACGAAAAATATTTAATTACTTTATGTGAGTATCCACTTATATTAAAAATTACCAACTAAAACGATTAAATTTTTCCAATGGTAAGGGGGTGTAACACCCCACCTCACGGGAAGNAATATTATTTGAGTTTTTAGTTAGATCTACAATTCAATTTGAAAATACCAAGTATAACATAATAATTACTTGGGTTATTGTTATTTTTCTTATAAGAAGTTTTTATATTACTATTTTATGTTTTTCATTTTTATGTTACTATTACTTTTATTAATATGATTATTTTTATATTATTATGTATTTCATTGATAGTTATTTAATTGTATCAATTTATAAGACTAATTTTTTTAATTATGTTTCATTCTTTATTATAGTTATTATTATAAAAAATATTATTTCTTAATTAATTCAACATTAATCTAAAGTAAACTAATTTTTGAAAAAATAGTTTGTTTGAATCAAATGTTAATAGAGCATCTGCCAGTGTTAATTATCTAAATATATTAAATTCAAATTTATTTTAATTTCAGGGTCTACAAAATGTTTGCATTTTCTTTTTAATATTCTAATATAAACTATATAATTGTATTTATGTTATATAATGAATAGCATATAAAATAATAAAACAATTTAAAAAATTTATATTCTTAATTTTCCATAATCTTTAATTTTCGTCATTCGTGCGAAAAAAAATTAATAACATTTTCCCATATTACATAATATTCAAATCTTGATTGTTTAAAAATACTAGCTGTCCTCATGGCAGTAATAATTATTAGAAGAAACTGTTTAAAAATTTTTCATAAAAAATCTTTAAATTGTAATGTCATTATTTTTAAAAATTGTGTGAACATATTTTTATCCGTTGAAAAGTGTCCAATCCTAAAATTATTGATACTTCCCACAATTAAAAAAATATCCATATTATTATATTTTATTAATAACAATGTTGAAATATATTTTAATTTAATCTGATATTGTATAATTTAATACAATTTAATATCATCTATTCAAGGTTATCCCGAATCTAAACATATACAGGGTGACAAATTAATATTTATGAATAACATATCTTTTTTTAAATTGTACGAAAAATATTTAATTACTTTATGTGAGTATCCACTTATATTAAAAATTACCAACTAAAACGATTAAATTTTTCCAATGGTAAGGGGGTGTAACACCCCACCTCACGGGAAGGCCCTGTATCTATCCTATACTCAAACTTTTAAATAAATTTATAATAAATTTAACTTTATCTTAAAACATTCTGACGACTCATCAAATGCTTGTACAATTTATTACATATTTCGATTTTTACATCAAAACTTTGAAGTTTGTTTTAAAACATTTAATTTGACATAGATTAAAAATAGTAATGGACTGAATTAGTAAATTTAAGATAATAAAAATCAAAAATTTTTTTTTGATACACAAAAAGCTTAATACTTCTTAAATTGATATTCGATTTTTATTGATATTATAATGAAAATTTATATTGATATAATAGCCTTTATTAAATAATTATGTATAATGTCATTTAAAAAATTCAACTCGATACTTCTATAAGTAATAAGAGATCACGCTAAAAAGTAATCAGTAGCTAATAAATCAAGTATATGTAACTAAATAAAGTAAAAAAATATATTACATTATTGTAATTATTTTGCAATTAATTGAGAGGATTATTATAAACGCAATTTAATTTGATTTATATTTGGTCGAATACAATTTGACCGAATAATTATTTGTGAAAAAAAAAATCTAAATCACCCGTTTTTGGCAATACTGTTATGTGAGATAATTTCCTTAATAATAAGAATGCAGCATAATTTTTTAAAGTAGTAAATTCAATAAATTAAAAATAGCATGGAAAATGGGGAATCTCTTGCAACTGGATATAGTTCGTGTTATTTTGACTTATACTTACATTTTTTCAATTATCCAATTACTTTTCTCTTCATTTTATAAAATATTCATTTCGAGCAATATTGTTCATAATTGTAAACATTTTTCTAAATTACTTAATATTTTATTATTGCCATATATAAAATGCCATTTTGCTGAAATATTTTCGATGAATATATTTTGACTGAAAAATTGATCAATTGAAATATTTTTCGGTTGAAATAGAATTTGATCGATTTATTTTTTTGCTAAATGACCCTCTTCCTTTAGACATATTAACATTTTCAAAAATAATTCCGAACATTGACAATGCTAAAGTAATATTATCTGCATGACAAAATATTTCAGCAATTTTTATTTTATTTTTTATTTGGTTTCCCAGTTATTAGGTACATTGTATTATATTTAAATATAAAAAAAAAATAAAGTATTCAGAATACGTATTATTTAAATAATTCAGAACACCGTAAAAATACAAAATAGTTTAAAAAACCTTTTATTCGATATTTTACAAGACAAGCACAAAATTTAAAATCCCTTCAACGCTACAAGGAGCACTTATAAAAAAAGCTCAAATGGAACATAATGTTACCTATAAAGAATATGATTATTAGGGAAACGCAGAATAATGTTATTTTCTTTTTATGCTGCATTGCAATTTTAAAAATAAGAATTTTAATGTACAACAAGACAACCACTCATTNTACATAAATTATGAATTACAAAAAAAAATATTTTGTATTTTATTGTTATTTTAAGGAAAATTATAAACATAATTTAATTGTTAATGTTCTTTACATTTAGCAAATAAATTATCATTACTATTAATGTACTTAAAAATGTTTTTTATAACCCTCAATTAACATTCACTTAAAGTGTATAAAAAAAAATTTTTAATTTTTATTCAATTTTTCAGAAAGACGTATTCATGCTGCTAAGATTATTCAACAGTTTTATCGAAAATACAAAATGATAAAACAAAAAAATTATGATAAAACTGCTTGCAACTGTATTCCTAATATTAACGTTGATTTATTAGATACAAATACTGCAATTTTAAACTCAAATTCTTCATGTTGTTCTATGAAAGACTTGAATAACAATAATAATTCTTCAACTATTATTGAAAAGCCAATAATTACAAATAATAGTCTCAATAGTTTACATTATACAAAATATAATCATACAATAGAACACACTAATAATTCAAAATATTTGTCCAATAAACTGAAATCGTCTCCTATGAAATTTATATCTATATTAAAATGTAAACAGCGTTTATCAAAAATTAATCGCAAGACAGATTTTTGTGATTTAGGTAAAAATAATTATTTAGTACCTACGTCAAACAAGCCTTTTAGTGATGATAATGATTTTAAGCCGAGAGAAAATACTACTCGGATACAATTTTCTAATACAAATCCTACTTATATTTCAAAAGATTCTCAATACTTAGAACAATATAATAAAAATCAAATATTAAATTTTGATTCTTCTTCTAATAAAGAAGATGTTTCCAGTAAATATAATTATGTATTTAATAGTTCAAAAATAGTATGTGACATTAAATCAACTGAAACTAATCAAAATACCAGTAAGTTTACACTTAATGACCAATTTACAACTATAAAACCTTCAATCATCAAATCAAAATTCCATGGAGATTTAGATAATATTAACTGTGAAATTTTCATTAAAAAACAATATTCAAATGACTACCAATATGATCAAAACTTATTAATTAATGAAAAAAACAATCCTATGGAAGATATTCTATCTTCGGAGCCTGTATGTCAAAACTATTTGAAACCCATTACTTTAGCTAATTACTTTAACTAATTAAAAGCCTATTACTTTAGTCATCTACATATTTTTAGCTCATTAAATTCTATAACGAATTAAAAGCAGAACTTGAAGTATTTAATAATTTAAACAACTATTTGGCCAATATTGAAAATTTGACAGACAGAAATTTATCCAAATTAGAGGTATGTTATTGCATGTAAAAATTTGTATATTTTTTTACAAAATAGCTTTGACACCTGGATCATTAGCTTTTTGTTTTAATTTGTAGTTAATACTCTCAAATTCGTAGAATATTAGTATAAGCATAACGTTAAGTCTATTACGACATCTTAAATACACATATAAATATATATAGGGTGACTGAGTTAATGTTAATTTCTGTTAAAATAATATCAAGGATTTGAAAATACATGTAGTATGAGAAAAATTTAAATCTAATTGGATGAGAATACGTAGTATAAAACATACTAAATTTTCAACGGAAAAAAAAGAAAATTGGGTTCCTGTCATGAAACAATTACTAGTATTATTTTCTTAATTTTTGATATTTTTTCTTAATAAGTTATTTATATTTAGTTATTAAGTATAAATAATAAATACAGAATAATATATAGTTGTAATTCAATTAAATTTTTTTATACAGCAATACAGAAAATAAATCAGATTATAATATAATTTTTTTACATTTTATTATAACATATTATGTTAAGTATTGAAACTAATATTCCATCAATAATTGTTCTACTTATTTTCATTTTAATTAGAAAAAATTCTATACTTATAGCTAGAGAATTAAAATGTCTAAAAATTGAAATTTGGAAAAAACTCAAAAAAAAAAAACCCAGCACAGGGGGGTCGCGGCACAGTGGTGACGTGGCATAGTTGGATCAAGTATAATGATATCTGACAGTGATTAAAATCACTATCAAAAAAAAACGCTTCGATGCAAATCTTTAGATAGTGTTTAATTTTAAAAAATTGGTGGATTATTCCAAAAGCTTCATAAACTGCTAGTTCCTTATTAATATCCTGATTAAGA